GTCGAGTAGAGGGGTCCCTCGATCTGCTGGCAATGCCCCTATATATACATCCCAAAATGCCATTGGCCTTCTTGGCAACAAGGACACACTGGTGACTCATATCCTGCTTCTCGTCCACTGTAACCCCTAGGTCCCTTTCTGCAGAACTGCTGCCGAGCCATTCGGTCCCTAGTCTGTAGCAGTGCATTGGATTCTTCCGTACTAAGTGCAGGACTCTGCCCTTGTCCTTGTTGAACCTCATCAGATTTCTTTTGGCCCAATCCTCCAATTTGTCTATGGCCCTCTGTATCCTATCCCTGCCCTCCAGCGTATCTACCTCTCCTCCCAGTTTAGTGTCATCTGCAAACTTGCTGAGGGTGCAATCCACACCGTCCTCCAGATCATTTATGCAGATATTGAACAAAACCGGCCCCAGGACCGACCCTTGGGGCACTCCACTTGATACCGGCTGTCAACTAGACATGGAGCCATTGATCACTACCCGTTGAGCCTGACAATCTAGCCAACTTTCAATCCACCTTATAGTCCATTCATCCAGCCCATACTTCTTTAACTTGCTGGCAAGAATACTGTGGGAAACAGTGTCAAAAGCTTTGCTAAAGTCAAGGAACAACACGTCCACCGCTTTCCCTTCATCCACAGAGCCAGTTATCTCGTCATAGAAGACAATTAGATTAGTCAGGCATGACTTGCCCTTGGTGAAACCATGCTGACTGTTCCTGATCACTTTCCTCTCCTCTAAGTGCTTCAGAATTGATTCCTTGAGGACCTGCTCCATGATTTTTCTAGGGACTGAGGTGAGGCTGACTGGCCTGTAATTCTCAGGATCCTCCTTCTTCCCTTTTTTAAAGATGGGCACTACATTAGCCTTTTTCCAGTCGTCTGGGACTTCCCCTGATCGCCATGAGTTTTCAAAAATAATGGCCAATGGCTCTGCAATCACATCCGCCAACTCCTTTTGCACTCTCTGATGCAGCGCATCCGGCCCCATGGAGTTGTGCTCGTCCAGCTTTTCTAAATAGTCCCGAACCACTTCTTTCTCCACAGAGGGCTGGTCACCTCCTCCCCATGCTGTGATGCCCAGTGCAGTAGTCTGGGAGCTGACCTTGTTCATGAAGACAGAGGCAAAAAAAGTATTGAGTACATTGAGCCCCTAGTTAGTTCCTCCAGCACTTGCACCAGGAAATTGTCCCCTACCCTTTCCAAAAACTTCCTGGATTGTCTGTGCACCGCTATATTGCTCTCCCAGCAGATATCAGGGTGATTGACATCTCCCATGAGAACCAGGGCATGCGATCTAGTCACTTCTGTGAGTTGCTGGAAAAAAGCCTCGTCCACCTCATCCCCCTGGTCCGGTGGTCTATAGCAGACTCCCACCACGACATCACCCTTGTTGCTCACATTTCTAAACTTAATCCAGAGACACTCAGGTTTTTCTGCAGTTTCGTACTTGAGCTCTGTGCAGTCATACTGCTCCCTTACATACAGGGCAACTCCCCCTACCTTTTCTGCCCTGCCTGTCCTTCCTGAACAGTTTATATCCATCCATGACAGTACTCCAGTCATGTGAGTTATCCCACCAAGTCTCTGTTATTCCAATCACATCATAATTCCTTGACTGTGCCAGGACCTCCAGTTCTCCCTGCTTGTTTCCCAGGCTTCTTGCCTTTGTGTATAGGCACTTGAGAGAACTCGCTGATCGTCCCTCATTCTCAGTATGAGGTAGGAGCCCTCTCCTCACAGACGTTCCTGCCTGTGGTTCCTCCCGGTATCCTGCTTGCCCACGTACCTCAGGGCTTTGGTCCCCTTCCCCTGGTGAACCTAGTTTAAAGCCCTCCTCACTAGGTTAGCCAGCCTGCTTGCAAAGATGCTCTTCCCTCTCTTCGTTAGGTGGAGCCTGTCTCTGGCTAGCACTCCTCCTTCTTGGAACACCATTCCATGGTCAAAGAATCCAAAGCCGTCTCTCCGACACCATCTGCGTAGCCATTCGTTGACTTCCACGATTTGACGGTCTCTACCCAGGCCTTTTCCTTCCATGGGGAGGATGGACGAGAAGACCACTTGCACCTCAGACTCCTTTATCCTTCTTCCCAGAGCCATGTAGTCCACAGTGATCCGCTCAAGGTCATTCCTGGCAGTATCATTGGTGCCCACGTGGAGAAGCAGGAAGGGGTAGCGATCCGATGGCTTGATGAGTCTCTGCAGTCTCTCCATCACATCGTGAATCCTAGCTCCTGTCAAGCAGCAGACTTCTCGGTTTTCCCAGTCGGGGCGGCAGATAGATGACTCAGTCCCCCTGAGGAGAGAGTCCCTGACCACCACCACCCACCTCCTTCTCTTGGGAGCGGTGATCGTGGAACCCCCAACCCCAGGACAGTGCATCTCATGCCTTCCAATCGGCGGAGTCTCCTTCTGTTCCCTTCCCTCAGACGTATCATCTAGTCCACTCTCTGCATTAGTACCTGTGGAGAGAACATGAAACGGTTACTTACCTCTATCTGCGTTGCTGGTACATGGACGCTCCCCTTTCTTCTTCTGGAGGTCACATGCTGCCAAATTTCTTCACTGTCCTCCTGTCCCCGCTGCGCAGCCTGCTCTGAATCTTCAGGACATTATGCCCATAGAAGCATATCCTGACGTCTGTCCAGGAAATCTTCAGTTTCTCTTATGCAATGCAGGGTCGATACCTGTTGCTCCAGACCTTGAACCTTCTCTTCCAATATGGAGACCAGCTTGCGCTTTGTACAGACAAAGTCGCTTCTGTCCTCTGGAAGAAAGACGAGCATGGCACATCCAGTGCAGGTCACAACAGCTGAACACCTCCCATCCATATTACCTTCCTTCTACAAGCTCACTCAGGAGTTGTAGTAACTACTCAGAGAAGCCGGCAAGATGTAAGCCTCAGCAGGCTCTCCCCAGGCGAACTCCCAGGCAAACTCCCTCTGTTAGCCGCTCTTCTGTTAGCTGCTCAGCTGGCTCGCAGCTGACTGGCTTTTATACAGTCAGGCCCACTCAAGGCTCACCTGGAACAAAGCACTCCCAATTCACACTTTTCAAACCACCAATCAAGCACACTCCATACTGATAAGGCCTCAACAGGAGTATTGTGTCCAGTTCTGGGTGCAACATTTCAGGAAAGATGTGGACAAATTAGAGAGAGTCCAGAGAAGAGCAACAAAAATGATTAAAGGTTGAGAAAACATGACCTATGAAGGAAGATTGAAAAAAATGGGTTTGTTTAGTCTGAAGAAGAGAAGACTGAGAGGGGGACATAATAGTTTTCAAGTACATAAAAGGTTGTTACAAGGAGGAGAGAGGAAAAATTCTTCTCTTTAACGTCTGAGGATAGGACAAGAAGCAATGGGCTTATATTGCAGTAAGGGTGGTTTAGGTTGGACATTAGGAAAAACTTCCTATCAGGGTGGTTAAGCTCTGGAATAAAAGTGTCCAGAGAGGTTGTGGAATCTCCATCATTGGAGATTTTTAAGAGCAGGTTAGACAAACATCTGTCAGGGATGGTCTAGATAATACTTATTCCTGCCATGAGTGCAGGGGACTGGACTATACCTCTCAAGGTTCCTTCCAGTCCTATGATTCTATCTTGAACAACAGTTAAGGAAGGTTAGAACATAAGAATGGCCATACTGGGTCAGACCAAAGGTCCATTCAGCCCAGTATCCTGTCTACCGACCAGGGGCCAATTCCAGGTGCCCCAGAGGGAGTGAACTTAACCGGTGGTGATCAAGTGATCTCTCTCCTGCCATTCGTCTCCACCCTCTGACGAACAGAGGCTAGGGACACCATTCCTTACCCACTCTGGCTAATAGCCATTAATGGACTTAACCTCCATGAATTTATCCAGTTCTCTTTAGTTAGTAACCAGTTTGGTTTGGTTTGGTTTTGTTGGGGGGATGGTTGGGGGAGAGGTGGTGCTTTATGTCTCTCCCTTCATTGGTTTTAAAACTAAATTGGTACAAGGGTGAGAAGTTAGATTGACACTCTGGAGAAATAAGCTCTCCTCTTAGAGAGTTCAGCAGAAGTTCAAGCTTCCTTGATATAACATGGTCCCCCTGCCAGATGTACGTCAACTTTGATCTGGGGGGCTTCCTCTGTGACTGAAAAGTAGTTCTTCCTCTGACAACTGGCACTGGTTTTTGCTGAGACTGGTGGCATGTATGGTGGATATTTTGCATGTCCAGTATAAGCCAGGCTGAGATCAGTTCTAACATGTCAGCCATTGAAACAGTTGTCAAGTTACATCAACTTTGTCCCTGGGGACCACATTTTTAAAGGTATTTGGTATAGCTGCACTCAGCTTTGCAATGCTGAAGTCTCGTTTTTCTAAAAAGGGATTTAGGCATTTAGGAGCTGAAATCCTATTGATAATGCCTAAATCCCGTTAGAAAATGAGACTTAGGCTTCTAAGTCAGTTAGGCATTGTAACGCTGAGTGCAGCAACACCTAAATACCTTTAAAAATCTGGGCCTAACAGTGTAGGCTAACTTTGAGTTAGTAGGGAAAGGCTCTATATCCTATTCCCAATTCCTGATTTTTTTTTTTCCCCTGTTCCCCTACAGTATTTTTTCAGAATCTAGGAAATAACTTGTGTTAAGAGTCACAATGGAGAACAGTGCACAGGACTTTAGATACTGTCACCTACCAGACCAGATAAATCCAGATGACTTTTATCACTGTGATCCCTTGACACTTTTCAGTACTGTTATTTCCCAAACCTGAATCATTTTCCTTACGTAGAGCTCCCCATCACCACTTGCTTGTAAGGGATGGATCCATTTCCTAATAGCTGTCTACTGCCATTGCCTTCACATAACCTGCTGTGCCTTTCTGGGTATAGATATGAATTGCACTGGTTGAAGAGTATAGGTGTAGAAGAAACCTTTCTTCTCCTTTCTGGGTGCATGTTGTGACTTGGATGGCTGCAGAAGGTAGATAGCAACCATTGTGCTTCTTGTTGACAAGCTTATACTGTTTTGTTTCAGACTGATATTTACTCGGAAAGGTATCCTACGAGTGGAGGGATTCTTAAATCCCCAGCAGAGTGACCCTGATGCCATGAGCCTGTGGATTCCGTCATCTTCCCCTGCAGAGGGTATTGACCTGGAGACCTCTAAATATATCCTGGCCAATGTTGGGGACCAGTTCTGCCAACTTGTTATGTCTGAGAAGGAGGCAATGATGATGGTGGAGCCACACCGTAAGCTGTTGGTTTTACTCCTTTTAGTAATGTCTGTACAGTGGAATGGGACTGAAGCAGGGCTGTCAAGCGATTAAACATAATAGAATACCATTTATTTAAATATTTTGGGATGTTTTCTACATTTTCAAATCTATTGATTTCAGTTACAACACACAATACAAAGTGTACAGTGCTCACTTCATATTTATTTTTGATATGTATTTGGACTGTAAAAAAACAAAAAAATAGTATTTTTCAATTAATCTAATATAAGTCCTGTAGGGCAATCTCTTTATCATGAAAGTTGAACTTACAAATGTAGAATTATGTACAAAAAGCTGCATTCAAAAATAAAATAATGCAGAACTTTAGAGCCTGTAAGTCCCCTCAGTCCTACTTCTTGTTTGGCCAATCGCTCAGACAAACAGGTTTGTTTACATTTGAAGGAGATAATGCTGCCTGCTTCTTGTTTACATTGTCACCTGAAAGTGAGAACAGGCATTCTCATGGCACTGTTGTAACCGGCGTTGCAAAATATTTATGTGCCAGAAGTGCTAAAGATTCCTGTGTCCCTTCATGTGTCAACCACCATTCCAGGGGACGTGTTCTGCTGTGACAGGTTCTGCTCGATAACAGTCCAAAGCAGTGCAGACTGACGCATGTTCATTTTCATTATCTGAGTCAGATGCCACCAGCAGAAAGTTCATTTTCTTTTTTGGTGGTTCGGGTTCTGTAACTTCTGCATTGGAGTGTTGCTCTTTCAAGACTTCTGAAAGTATGTGCCACACCTTGTCCTTCCCAGATTTTGGAAGGCACTTCAGATTCTTAAACCTTGGGTCAAGTGCTGAGCTATCTTTAGAAATCTCACATTGGTATCTTCTTTACATTTTGTGAAATCTGCTGTGAAAGTGTTCTTAAAACAAATGTGCTGGGTCATCAGCCAAGACTGCTGTAACATGAAATATATGGCAGACTTCAGGTAAAGCAGCAGGAGGCATACAATTTCCCCCCCAAGGAGTTCAATCACAAATTTAATTAATGCATTATTTTTTTAACAAGCGTCATCAGCATGGAAGCATGTCCTCTGGAATGGTGACCAAAGCATGAAGGACCGTAAGAATGTTTAGCATATCTGGCACATAAATACTTTGCAATGCCGGCTACAAAACTGCATGCAAATGCCTGTTCTCACTTTCTGGTGACACTGTAAATAAGAAAAAGGCAGCATTATCTCCTGGAAATGTAAACAAACTTGTTTGTCTTAGCGATTGGCTGAAAACGAAGTAGGACTGAGTGGTCTTTTAGGCTCTGAAGTTTTACATTGTTTTGTTTTTGAGTGCAGTTATGTAAAAAAACCAACCAAACAAAAAAAACCCCTACAGTGGTAAGTTGCACTTTCACGACAGAGATTGCACTACAGTAATTGTATAGGGTGAATTGAAAAATTCTATTTCTTTTGTTTATCATTTCTCCAGTGCAAATTTGTAATAAATAATATATATTGTATTCTATGTTGTAATTGAAATCAAAGTGTATGTGAAAATGTAGAAAATCATCAAAAATATTTATTAAATTCCAATTGGTATTCTATTTAACAGTGCAATGAAAACTGTGGTTAATCACAATTTTTTTAATGGTGATTAATTTTTTTGAGTTAATCACATGAGTTAACTGCAATTAATCGACAGCCCTAGACTGAAGGAATACATTTTGATCCTTGTAACACTTCTGCTTTCCTTTTTCCAAAGAGGAGGTTGTGTTTCTTCCTCTAGAGTGTGTGAGAAACTGAGACCATCTTCAGAGAGTTTCCTCTTCCGTCAGAACAGTTTGTCCTGTGAAAGAACAAATAAGTTGCCAGAAACTGTTAATTCCATATTAAATAAGGAAATGCAAAAATTATTTCCCTTCAGCAACTGACTGACCCAAGACCCTGAGAAAATGAAATGAATGTAATCTACTGTTCACATAGGCAGCTCTACTTTGGGATGGAGTAAGACTTTGGGCCATGGATGCATATGCTATTTATTGCAATTTCTTAATGGCAGAACTTATTGAATCCACTGCTGACTGCCTGTACGACCAAAATTCACTCCTTTGCACCACACTAACCATAGTACAGCCCTCATCTCACCATCTTGCCTCTGAAATGCTCCAAGAAAAAGCTGAGCTTTAGTGTGTTGGGAGGCTAATGGTTCTGGGTTTGGTGGTCTGGGATGTCTGTGTGTTTGTTTGCCAAATTGCACATCTCTAGTTGTAAACTTTCAACTGCATGTGCTCAGAATACATTTGTCAAACCTTCATCAAAACCAATTAATTTCAAGCATAGCAAAATCGCAAAGTTCCTAATAAGCTCTGTTCAGGGGTTCAGCATCCAAATGTTAAGATGCTTTGATTCAACCCTGCCAGAATGTACTTAAACACTTTTTCCTCTGCATTAAGAAAGAAAGTGTAACTTTCCTTAACTCAGATGGTTCAAAATTTTCTTCACACTTACAAAATCAACTTTACATTTTGGCAGAAACCATGAACAGAAAGCCTTCCTGTTGAAAAAAATTTCTTTAAGAAATTGCATATGTGAAAAACGGGAAACAATATTTTTGTAATTAAATATATTTTCTGTTTAAGAGTTAGTAAGAACCAGTGGGTTTTCTCTGACTTTGCAACTCTTTTACATAATTTTTCAGCATGGATGTTGTGAATGTTATCTAGATTTAAATTGTTCCAATTTTGAAAAAGGCAAACTAAATTCTTTGACAAACCTACCAACATTTACAAACTGTAATCCTACAGATTTTAGTTTATATTTACATGAATTCAGATAAATGCTCATGAATTTTGATACATATTAGCAGTTTCACACCCATGCCCGCCTTATATGCCTATTGTATGTGCTCCCCAGATACAGTTAATTCTTTAGTCACCCATCCACTGGTTCCGTATGCACGCACACCGCCAGACCTGCTAATTTTATGGCTTTTCCACATAGACACCTCTAGTTTGTGGGGAAATCTCTGCCAATTGGCTGCCTTTCCCCTACCACAGGGTCCTAGTGCCCCCCATCTCCACTGCCAGGGCAGACTGACTGAGCCTGCCCTTCCCCCTCAGACCCTTCCCTTTTCCGGCAGGACCCTCCACCAGCACAGGGGGCCCCCTGCCCTCAGTCACCACTCCTGCCCCATGCTGGGCAAGGAGGCAGCCCCATCCCTCACCCCCAGTGAGGCTACAGTCAGGGGTAACAGCAGGGGAGGAGGTGCACACAGCACCCACAACGGGGGAGACGAGGGAGATTCCTGGACCTGAGAGGGTTCCTAGGAGTACATTCAGTGACAGTGGTGGGGGTGAGTGTGCTGCTGGGGGAGCAGGAAAAGGGGGCTCCTCCCTCAGAGCTCGCTGCTGCTGGCAGGGAAAGGGCTGGGGGGGGAGTCCTCTCCGGCCCCTGTCCCGGAGCAGTCTGCCTGTACCCCAAACTCATCCCCAGCCCTGCCTCACCCCAGAGCCCACACTCCCAGCCAGATCTTTCACCACCCCACCACACCCTCAATCCTCTGCCCGAGCCCCCTCCAACACCACAAACCCCTCATCTCCAGTCCCAGCCAGGGCCCTCATCCCCTTGCACCGCAACCCTCTGCCCCAGCCCTGAGTGTCTCTAACCCCTCAGCCCCACCACAGTGCCCTCACCCCCCACATTCCTCCTCTCACCCTGAGCCCCTCCGACACCCCAAACCCCTCATTCCCAGCCCCAGACAAAGCCCTCACTCCCTACACCCCTACTCTTGCCCTGAGCCCCTTCCATACCCCAAACCCCTCATCTGCAGCCTCACCCCACAGCCCTCACCCCTGCACCCCCTCCCATCCCCAAACTCCCTCCCAGAGCCTTGGGCAGGTGGGGGGCAGAGTTGGGGCGGGTTCTGGGCACCACCAGAATTTCTACAAACCTGTCACCCCTCCTGGTGAAGTACTCGTTCTGTTAATACCTAATAGACTCTCAGATCAACTCCCCACCTTTCTCTGGATCTTCCTGCCTCTGCTTTCACTAGCAACAATGAAGAGAGTGAAAATACTGCTGCCTCTTGTCTCATTAGAGAAATTGTTGCCTAACCAGTGAGGTCCCAGTCAGTGGGTAAGGTTCCTGGAGTGCTCCTCTACCCCCCCCCCCCTTGAAAATCCAACAACAACAATCCAAGCCTGAAACAAATGTGTTGCTGTCTGGTGGCTCCCCTCCTCTCCTCCACCCCCCAAGTCTCTGCCCTCATGCATTGCCTTTGATATGCTGCCCAGTCCCCTCACATACCTCTGCTCTAGTGTGAAGGCCTGTATCCTCCCATCCTGCTATCTTTAGGGGGTGCCCCGTTGTGCAGCCCCCATCCAAGAAGAACTCCAGGATCTTCAGGGGAAGGGACATGCCTCTTCCCACACCCAACAGGGCCTGGCTTGGCTGACAGACTGAGCTATGCTAGATCCAGCTCTGCCAGTGCAAGGAGAAGATCCGTTCCTTGGTGATATAGGTGTTTAACCCATTACATGCGTATATGCAGAGGATGGCCATAGCGGAAAGGGGAAAAGTAGCCAATTGGAGGGAATATTCCCTACAGATCTGTCAGTCTGAAAACCCAGGAAGCTGGTAGGTCTATGATAAATTACTAAAATCATATGCTTGTCATCTATAGAGGTCTTTAAAACTTTATTTACAGATAGTAATTAATATAAGGTTTTCTAGTTTCACAGAAGTTTCTGTAAGTTCTCTTATACCTTTTGCTGAAACTCTGTGTGGATCACACAAAATACCCCTGTGCTTCTTACAGCTCTTGGAGGCTTGTTTTTTTCCCCTTTTCCAATGGTAGAAATAAGTGTCACAAGATCAGTACTGCAGATGTCAAACTGTTCTCTCCCAAACTCCCCTCAGGAAGTCTCGTCTCAATGAATGGTTCTATCTGCGGTGCTTCTAAGATATTTCCAAATTCACTTGGGAGAAATGGAATTAAAGCACTGTATTTGAAGCTTTTCCTGCCCGCAGGTCTCTTTCAGTACTCCCAAATAGCTTTTGCATATAGACATACTCCGGTGAAGACTGTCCTGTGCTTGAAGATAGCAAGTGGGGTTACGCACTGGGCTGTACAATCCGTTATCCAAGCGTTCATTCCTGAAATGTTCCTCCTTTTCTTTGTAGAGAAAGTAGCTTGGAAGCGAGCTGTCCGTGGTGTGAGGGAGATGTGCGATGTATGTGAGACAACCCTCTTCAATATTCATTGGGTTTGTCGCAAATGTGGTTTTGGAGTCTGTCTGGACTGTTATCGACTGAGGAAGAACCGTCCACGTAGCGGTGAGTACCAGATTTGTCCACACCCCTTTAACTGGCTAGTTTCCAGGTAAAAAACTCCTGAGAGCTAGCTGGAGTTTTTAAGGGTGAGTTAGGGAGTACTGACGTGAGAGGTTGGAGGGGTTTGACAGAGTGGGGGAGGTTTTTTCTGTTCTGTTCTGCCCTGTACTCCCCTGTTGTCACCCTGTCTTCACTGTTCTTCAAGTGCTTGCTCATGTTGATTCCAAGTAGGTGTGCATGCACTGCGTTCACAGTCGTTGGAAGGTTTTTCCCCTAGTGGTACCTGTTGGGTCGGGTGTGGAGACTCCTGGAATCGAGCCTTCATGGCGGTGTATATAGGTCCTTGCCAACCTACCGCCTCTTCAGTTCCTTACTGCCAGTGACAGTCGGAGCTGCGTGTCTCTCTTGCCTTGGCAAGCATTTTCCCTAGTGATCTGACTTTTGATTATCCTGTAGTTAAGTAGTAGTTAGTTAAGTAGAAGTGGGGGGCTTCCCCCCCTTGGGCTCCAGGAGCATGCTTCAATCCCAAGGGTTTAAGCCATGCGACACCTGCCACAAGCCAATGCCAACAGGGGACCCCACGACTCCTGCCCTAAGTGTCTTGGGGAGGCACATCAGATCAGATCACTGCAAGATGTGCAAAGGGTTCCACACAAGAACAAGAAGGAAAGGTACTTCAGGCTCTAAGAACTCCTTACGGAGGCAGCTCTCTGTCCCCAGTCGGCTCTGGGCCAGCAGGAGGCTGCACTGAGCACCTCCATGTGGAGCGCTCCGGCCTCCGTTAAGGAAACAGCACTGAGGAAGGACTCTAGGCATAGAGCCCCTCAGCACTGTCACTGCCCGATGCTGAAGCCCGTGGAGGCAACACAGCACCACTTGGGCTCACTGGTGCCACATAAGCGGCACAAGAAGACCGATAGAGGGCGCTCGCCCACGGTGACAGCAGCTGGGTCTGACAGCACCACCGTGCAGGGGCATCTGGTGCCGGTCTCTCAGGAGCCAGCACTATTGACTTTGGGCCTGCAAAGGGGTCCGGCGAGTCCGATGCTTCGGGTTTCTCCTGCTAGAGTGCACCATGTGGAGGAGCTGGAGCTCCCTTTCACGCCGAACACATTTGAGGCGGCAAGAGGCTTGATTGCCATGACGGCTCCACAGTCCTCCAGCACTGCAAGGCGCAGCGATGATGAGGCACCGCTTGTCTTCTCTGCTTGGCACCACCATGGTCTCCGCACTCAGGTTCCTCATCGTTGGACTGGGAGGTGGATTCCTACGATGCTAGGCGCAGTCGGCATCGATCGGCGCGGCGGCACCACAGGCAGCGGGTGGGGATGGTGGTGTGCAGGTGCAATGGCACCATGGCTGCGCACTGGCTTTTCTGGACCCCGTGGTCATACCACCAGACCCAGGGCACTTTACTCCAGGGACTCTCAGTCTGTAATTTCAGAAGGACGCGCCCCCATACCACCTCTGCACTGTCCCTCACCTCAAGGCAACGAGTCCTCTCTTTTCATGGGGCAGAGCCCCGTCCAGGTCCTGGCTCCACCATGGGCACCAAGGCCACTGTCGGTGCTGAACGGCATGGCACTGAGCAGGATGCATCCAGAGGGACAAGAGGGCCTGGTACCATCTAGGACTTAGTCATCATCCTCGCCAGATGAGATGGTGGCGGGTCTTCGTCCTCTGGGCTGTCCCCCAGTGATAATAGAGCGCAGCAGGAACTGTTGCGCAGGGTCACCCATAACATGGGGCTACAGGCCGAGGAGGTGGTCGAGTCTGAGGTCCCCATGGTGGACATGCTAACCCCTGAGGAGCCATCAAGAGTGGCACTGCCACGCGTTAAAACGATCCAAGCCACTACGAATACTTTGTGGCAGACTCTTGCCCCATTCCTCTCACAGCTGAGGGGGTGGAGAGGAAGTGATGCTGATGCCCCGTTCGCACCATTCTTGATCGCCGCATTGGAGCAACAGCTGATGGCACCGACAACACCGGCCTTGGTGCGCGAAGTGTACTTGGAGGTCGGGGTAGAGGAGCGAGTGTGCACCCCAAAACCCCCTTCCCTTGGGGCCTACCCCGGTGGTCCAGTCCTCAGCCTCATCCCCGGACAAGGTGGTGGCGGGGCCCTTGAGTGCCAGCCTGCCAGAGGACTTCAGAGAGCACCAGGCCCTGCTTCGATGGATGGCTGAGAAGTGATGGGCCTGGAGGTACAGGAGATGGCCGAACAGGCAGACACCCTGTTCAGCGTGCTCTTGGCATCTACTCCTGCCCATGTTGCAGGTGCATGATGGGAGTCTTAAAAATAGCCAAGGCCCTCTGGCAAACCCCATCATCCATGCCTCCCAGCCAAGGGGTTCGAATATTTGTAAACCCACCTGCCTCCAGGCTCACTGGTCCTCTCTGCGGCCAAAGAGAAGGACAAACGGGCACACTAGTTCAACCCCCAAAAATAGAGGCCAACAGACTGGACCTTTTTGGGAGGAAAATTTATTCCACAGCCAGCCTTGAGTTCCGGGTGGCAAACTACAAGGCTTTTTTGGGCAGATACAACTTGGGACTCCCTCCATAAGTTCAAGGAGTCCTTGGCCCAGGAGTTTGGTACCCTGGTGGAGGAGGGTACTGCAGCAGTGAGGTGCTGACTTGCTGGCTAGGGTGGTTGCATCGGTGGCGGTCATGAGGTGCCGCTCCTGGCTTCCAACTGCTGGCCTGTTGCGGGAAATGCCGGTCTCAAGTCAAGATCTTCCATTTGATGAGAATGGTCTCTTTGCACAGCAGACTGATGCAAGGCTGCATGGCCTAAAGGAACTCTGGCCACCCTTTGCTCTGTGGGTCTGCATATGCCACAATCAGCGAGGAAGCTGTTCCGGCTGCTGCCAAGGCTTTTTGGTTGCCTGGACAGGGGTCTGCAAGGAGAAGGGATAGAGACACGAGCTTTAGTCATCATCACCCTTCCTCCTCCCACTCACCCATGCACCCCAGCCTGGCAAAGCATCCTGGGGGCCAGAAGCACTCATTTTGAAGGTGTTCTTGAGGTGCGTCCCATTCAACTCCACAGATCCACCTTGTTCTTTCATCAGTGTCTTTGTCCCTACCATTCGGTCTGGTTGTAGGTCACCTCAGATCACTGGGTGCTAGAGACAGTATCCCAGGGTTACACCTTGCAATTATCGGCTGCCATTCCCTCCCATCCCACCCCCTTCCTTGTCCCTCTTCAGTGACCCTTCTCACAAGCAGCTTCTCATTCAAGAGGTCGGGAGCTTCCTGCATCTGGGGGCGATGGAGGGAGTCCCTCGGGACATGAAAGGAAAAGGGTTCTACTCCTACTTCTTAATCCCAAAAGCAAAAGATGTCCTCAGACACTTTCTGGACCTGCGACGCCTCAACAAGTCTCTCAAGAAGCTGAAGTTTTGCATGGTCTCCCTGGCCTCCATCATCCCCTCCCTGGATCCAGGAGACTGGTATGCCGCCCTTGACTTGAAGGATATATTTCAAAGTCAGACTTTTCCTTTGTTTCATAGTGAGTGGACACCATTTCCAATTCATGGCGCTGCCCTTTACCCTTTCATCACCCCCAACGGTGTTCATAAAATACATAGCACCAGTGGCTGCTTACCTGAGGTGTTGAGGGGTCCAGGTCTTCCTGTATCTCGATGATTGGATCATCAAGGGCAGGTCTCAGGAACAAGTGCAGAGGAGCCTCAAACTTTGCCACCGCACTGTTTACCCCTTTCTCCAGATCATTTATGAATAAGTTGAATAGGATTGGTCCTAGGACTGACCCTTGGGGAACGCCACTAGTTACCCCTCTCCATTCTGAAAATTTACCATTTATTCCTTCCCTTTGTTCCCTGTCTTTTAACCGGTTCTCAATCCATGAAAGGATCTTCCTTCTTATCCCATGACAACTTAATTTACATAAGAGCCTTTGGTGAGGGACCTTGTCAAAGTACCCTGTGTCCACTGGATCCCCACATGTATGTTTGACCCCCTCAAAGAACTCTAATAGATTAGTAAGACATGATCTCCCTTTGCAGAAACCATGTTGACTTTTGTGCAACAATTTATGCTTCTCTGCGTGTCTGATAATTTTGTTCTTTACTATTGTTTCAACTAATTTGCCCAGTACTGACGTTAGACTTACCAGTCTGTAATTGCCAGGTTTACCTCTAGAGCCCTTCTTAAATATTGGCGTTACATTAGCTATTTTCCAGTCACTGGGTACAGTAGCTGATTTAAAGGACCGGTTACAAACCATAGTTAATAATTCTGCAATTTTCACATTTGAGTTCTTTCAGAACTCTTGGGTGAATGCCATCTGGTCCCGGTGACTTGTTACTGTTAAGTTTCTCAATTAATTCCAAAACCTCCTCTAGTTGCACTTCAATCTGTGACAATTCCTCAGATTTGTCACCTACAAATGACGGCTCAGGTTTGGGAATCTCCCGAACATCCTCAGCCATGAAGACTGAAGCAAAGAATTCATTTAGTTTCTCTGCAATGACTTTATCGTCTTTAAGTGCTCCTTTTGTAACTCGATCGTCCAGGGGCCCCACTTGTTGTTTAGCAGGCTTCCTGCTTCTGATGTAATTAAAAAATATTTTGTTGTTTTTGGTTTTTATTACCTTTTGAGTTTTTGGCTAGCTGTCCTTCAAACTCCTTTTTGGCTTTTTTTATTACATTTTTACATTTAATTTAATTAAATACATTTAATATTCAGGTCTTGTGTTACAGCAGCACAGCTACGGAGCTGTGGCAATGCTCTTGTAGTGCTGTAGTGCAGATGCTTTCTATAGTTACGGAAGCGGGTTTTCTATCACTGTGGTAGCTAGGTTGATGGAAACATTCTTTTGTCAACCTAGGTGCGCCTACACCACGGGTTAGGTTAGCATAGCTATGACAAATGCACCCCCTGAGCAGTGTCGTTATGTCTATCTAAATTTTAAGTGTAAATCAGGCCTAACTTGAGCTAACTGTTGCAGTGAAGAAATACGTACAGAAACAGCCTGCTGCACTGTAAAGCCTGAGTGACTTTTGCAAGGTAGTAAATGATCTGGTTCTGTCCATTTCAGAGACAGAGGAGATTGGTGATGAGGAGGTTTTCTCATGGTTGAAGTGTGCAAAGGGGCAGTCCCATGAACCGGAGAATCTTATGCCAACACAGATCATCCCTGGAACAGGTAATACTTGAACTCCTTCCTTCTGGTTTCTAGATATCTTCTTCCCTATTTTGGGAAGCAGGAGAGGAGGCAGTGTGATAGTTTTGTTTTCTAGTTGTCTCCTTATTTGGGAAGGATCAGGGAGGAGGTAATATGGGGGAGGGGGAAGACATTCTCTTGGAGGAAGGTGTGGAGAAAAAGACGAAAATAGTGCAGATGAGAATGAGTTGCTAGTACAAAGTGATAAAACATATCCAGTGTGCTACTCCTAAGATTTGCAGATACAAAGCACATGACTCTTGTTTTAATTTTCAGAAGTCTTTTCAAAAGATATGAACCAAATGTAGTTTAATTTATGGGGAAGGTACTAGTGCTCTTGTCCTCTGAAGGAAAATATAAGTATTCAGTGTTATAATGGCATTTCTGACTGGATTTTGAAAGCCAGTCCTATGTGAGCATAGTTATGCAGCACTCTCTGGTTAACATATGTATCTTGATCATGAAGCCTTAAAATTAAGGATTCTTGTGACTAGGCGGAAAAATTGGTCCTGAAGTTCAGTCAAGGCCTCACTTCATAGTTTTTATGAGCATATGTACGAAAACTTGTAACTTTCTTTCTAGCTCTTTACAATATAGGAGACATGGTACATGCAGCCAGAGGCAAATGGGGAATTAAAGCCAACTGTCCATGTATTAACCGGCAGAACAAATCTGTGTTGAGACCTGCTGTCACAAATGGGATGTCACAGGTACGTGAGCTGGGAATCCATGGATAGAATTCCTGTGCTTGACCTTTGTGGACACTGGATATTGCATTCATAGATTTTAAGGCCAAAAGGGAGGGGCCATTAGAACATTTAGTCTGACCTCTGTATAACATGGCACTTAGAATCTCAGCATTTTCTGCTGGATGCCTTGACTCAGTCAGGATTATCACTGAGCATTGCTACTTCTGGCACCCAGAAACCTGTTGAGGTGGGGAGCATGTTATACACAATCTTCGCTAGCTGGATGTCTGTGCTAGGCTTGTTTTTTATTTTGTAGAAATTTTTGTAAAAGACTTATGGTATCTCTGCCAAAACCTTGAAGGAAAGGTACATTGGGGAATATGCCAGCAATGCATTTACTTTATTTCTTATGGCTTTCTGAAATATTATGCTGATTTGACATATGTATAGATTTTGTTCTTTGATAAAATTAGCAGGATGATTATGATGTTGGGGGGCGTCAAACATCCACATATAAGCAATAAAATAGCACAGCTGGGTAAAGTTTTGAGAAACAATCCTTGACACTTGAAATGGTTGACTGCTTCTTGGAATAGATCTAGAACACACAAGAAGACGCTATTCTCTACTTAATTATAAGTAACACAAATGAGTTAATTCAAGAAGGAGTAGTAGCTTGAGCCACTAATTGATAGTGACCACATTATAATTAGGTAGGTTCAGCATCCTACAAGAAGAAAGGGTATCAAAAAGTGACACTACATTTTAAGAAGGGAGATTTCAATAAAATGAGAAAGTTAATCAAAAAGACTGTTTTACTTCCTTTACTTTTAACTTTAGAGGTGGCATAGATGCTACTTACAAAAATATGTCTCAAAAGGCATGTGTACTGATGAACAAAAAGGAAATGAAGAAGCCAAGGGATAAACCATTATGGCTCAATGGTACATTAGAGAGGATATTTGAGCCAAAAAAAATCCTTCAAAATTTGAAAATCTGATCCAAGTGAAATCACTAAATATGAGCATAAATTACATCAGGAAAATGTGAGAGGAGTATTAGAAGTGCCAGACAGTATGAGGATATTGCTGAGAAGCTAAATGATTTCTTTAGTTCTTGTTGTGTGGGGTGGCCCGGGAGTGCCGCAGGTGCTTTGGGGGGGGGCAGCAGCACGCGGCCCAGGACCTCCGCTGGTGCTGGGTGGGGTGGGGATGGTTGGCAGGGCTGGCAGGCTCCCTACTTGGCTTCGCATCTCCCTGGAAGCGGCGACATTCCCCTCCCTCAGCTCCTAGGCGGAGGCATGACCAGGCACCTCTGTGTGCTGCCTTCACCCCAAGCACCAGCTCCGCAGCTCCCAATGGCCAGGAACCACAGCCATTGAGAGCTGTGGGGGCGGCACCTGCAGGTGGAAGCAACACACAGAGCTGCCTGGTTATGCCTCCGTCTAGGAGCTGAGGGATGTTGTGGCTTCCAGGGAGCCCCCCAAGGTAAGCGCCCTCACCGCATCCTGTGCTTTTGCCCTCTCCCACACCCAAACTCAAGCTGCAGCTGTGGGAGGGGAGTGTGGTGGCTCAAGACTGCCCCAGCAGCGGCCGATGTGACTGGCCCAGGGGCTGCCTGAGCTACTCGGGTGGCCCTCAGGCCAGGCGCACCAGGCACCGCAGAAGTCACAGAGATCACAGAAAGTCACGGAATCCGTGACCTCTGTGACAAACTCGCAGCCTTAGTCATGATATAGTAGTCTAACTAGCACAGTTTCTGTAAAGAAAAACTCTCTCTCTAATCTGTTAGAGTTCTCTGACTGTTTCAATACAGTTGTGGATAAAGGAGAAGCAGTTGATGTAACTAGACTTTCAAAAGACCTTTGATAAAGTCTCACTCAAGACAGGCAAGGAAAATAATCATTAATGAGAAATAAGCTACAGTACTGTCATAAGTCAGAGTGGAATTAAATAGTCAATTTTCGTCATGGCAAAAGATTAACATCAGGATGTCACAAGGTTCTGTAATAAGTCCAGTGTTTAATACATTCTTATTAATGATCTGGAAAGGGGAGTGAGTAGTCAGAGAGAGAAATTTTCTTGTAACAGTTATTTAGATAAGTGAGAGAAGATTGTTAGGAAGTTGAGAGAGACCTAACCACGCTAGGTGAATGGGCAGCATGGTGACAAATGAAGCTCAATGACTGCAAGTTGCAGGGAAAAAAATCAACTGTAATGGACCATACAAGGTTTTAAAATAAAATAACTCTGGAGAGGAACCTGGGTATCATTGTAGAGCTTAGTGAGGAGGCAGTGTGGTCTAATGGATAAAGCGCTGGACTGGGACTTGGGAGTCCTGGGTTCTATTCCTGACTTGGCCACTCAGGGGATAAAGATGCTTCCCTTTGAAAAGTGACTTGAGATCTACTGGTGAAAAATAGTATAAGAGATAGGCATTTATTAATATTTACTATTTGCTTAATGAAAACCCCCACTCAGTGTGCAGCTGCAGGAACGGAATGGGATTGAGAATAGTATAGAAAGTCATATGATGCCTTTGTTTAAATCAGTGGATGCTGGATTAGGTGAAGTGTGGTCTGATAAGTCTGGCATTTCATATGTGCCTATGTTTTATTGCCAGTATGAAATATTTATTCAGATTTCTAAAATGTGACTATGGGCACCTATCCTGAGGTGCCTATCCCATAAAATAAAAACACAATGTAATTCCAAAAGACTGCTCATAAATATATTCTCATGTGTTAGTGTAGAATTTAAAGACCCCAGTTAGGTATCAGAACCCCATTGTGGGGAGGTGAGAAGGGCAAAGTAACATTGAAACAATCTCAATATTTATTGGGATTGGGGCTCCACTGTGCTAGGTGATAGAGATGGATACATACAGTCCTGCCCCAGATTAACAGTATAAAATAGCATACTGAGAGCTGGAGCAGTGGACACAATAAAAATTTGTACATTACATTACATTCATTTCCAAAAATTCACTATTTTAAAATGCATTCATAAAAGTACAGATCTGATTGGTCACTGAACATTCAAATCATGAAGGTCTTTAAGCCATTTCCAGGATCTTCGTGGCTTTGGAGTTAGAAAATCAATCTCAACGTTCTTTTAAGACAAAACATATTAATCCTTCTACCAGCCTCACAGCCCACCCTAGTGATAGACTATCACTATGTCATATTGTTGTTGTCTGGTTAACTTCCCCCCCCCAGTCCATCAAAAATGTAGTTTCCTCCCCAGAGTCAGCATTTGACTGCAGCACATGTAATCTTTTGTTTTTAGCTTCCCAGTATAAATCCTGGTGCATCAGCCTCTGGAAGTGAGGGCACCTTCTCTAGTGGGGCAGGAGCAGCAGGATTGGGGCAACTAGAAATGGACACTGATCCTAAACCTGAGGCCACAGATGGAAGAACTGAGGATTCTGCGAAAATAGAGACCTCGCCAACCAGCAACCCCACTGAAACAAAATCTAGCAGGCCACTATGTCCAGAAACATCCCCCTCATCAGCCTTGCACTGGCTTGCAGATTTAGCAACACAAAAAGCAAAAGAAGAAACAAAAGGTGAGGCAAAGATCTTCCCCCTTAATGTTTGGAAGCAAAGGAGTGCTGCTTGGTTACCATCCTTGGAAGGTAGTCCTTAGTGCTTAGGGAAGACCAGCATCATTCGTCTGCACTTGCCTCTTTGGATCTTTTTTCTTTAAGTAGGGGTTAACCATGTAGAAACCTCCTGAAAGAGATGGAGAAATAACATACATGCAGGAGCTGGAGGGATATGGGAGCGGGGGAGGGAGGCTGGAGGGGTGGGCATATTTATCAGGTACCCATTTTGTTATGTATGCTGTCTTTTCTGTGAGACTATGTAGAAATGATCTCCTGATGTAAAGTCTGACTAACATTCCCTTCAGATAAGAATTAGTTACTTTGTGGAAACTGGTGCTAAAATTAATTTTGGTGTTTGGCTTGCATCCGATGAAGTGAGCTGTAGCTCCGGAAAGCTTATTTATGCTCAAATAAATGTGTTAGTCTCTAAGGTGCCACAAGTCCTCCTTTTCTTAATATAAAAAGTGCATTTCCTAAGCACCTAGAGGCTGAAGGTATGCTTAAGGAACTGTCAAGACTGTGACTTATTCACAAAGGCAGCATTACATTCAAGACAGGTCGGGCTAGCTCTTGTATATTGTACCTAGCTAGAAGTATGGGAATTATAGCACACAATTTTGTATTTTGTTCATGGTTATCAGTGATAGGCATTTTTTAACAATCCCAGAAAATCTCTTCTGTTTTCACTTTTCAATTTTATGTTCACAAATGTTTCCCTAGTTTTCTAGGTCAAATCAACAGTAGTGTTCTCTCTACTGCATTTAAAATCCTGCAGAAGGATTCTGTATTCATTCTGAAGAATCCAAAACTAATTTGGAAGGCAAAAGGGTCAGTTCATGAGCGTCTGATTCAAACACGAGTGCAGTTCCTTGTAAATTAAATACTTCAGGTCCAAATCATCTACTGGACCCTCCAAATTCTTAACCCACCATGATGTATTAAAGCTGTTGGTGAGGCATAGCTGAAACAGGATGCTTACTTTTGCCTCATCCAGTATTGTACAATATCATTCTTGAGCCTTAACATCCAGGTAAACTGTACTGTGGTTTGTCACGGGATTATAGCCATGTTATATTGAAGGATAATACTTGGACAGTTATCTTCACAGAACTTTCCCTTTTGTGGATCTTCAATGATGTTTGTCTCACCCAGTTGTGATTTTTCTTCCTTACAGAAGCTGGATCCCTGAGATCGGTGCTTAATAAAGAATCTCATTCGCCCTTTGGATTGGATTCTTTCAACTCCAGTACAAAAGTTTCTCCATTAACCCCAAAACTGTTTAATAGTCTCTTGTTGGGCCCAGTTGCATCTAGTAACAAAGCTGAAGGCTCCAGTCTCAGAGATCTGCTACACTCTGGGCCAGGAAAGCTGCCCCAGGTCCCACTAGATACGGGAATCCCTTTTCCTCCAGTCTTTTCTGCAGCTTCCACGGTGAGTAATGTTGTCTTTCCTGCCTTTCTTCCTACAAAGGGAACTGTTCTAAGGGGAATTCCTTAGGGTCTGTCAGTTTTATCTACATTTCAACAGAATTCTTTTGGGACACATTGGTAGAAACAAAAGCATTATTTTTCAAAAGAGCTGTAAGATTTAACACAGTTGTTAGTTTTATGGGGCTTCATCTGGTGCAGTCATGGAGAAATGCTCTGAGGGAGGAGTTAGTCAGTTAGGTACTGCTTCCCCATAAAAGCCTGATTTAGAAGCTGTCTTTTCTCAGAGGTCCTGCTTTATTGAAGTCCATTTTATCTCTGGTGTTGGTTGAGGGGATCAAGCTATGGGACAAACTTCTAGAGGTGATTAGGTAAATCTAGAGTCTGGGTATCATGAGAAACAGTGCAAAACTTTCCTCCTTTAAAAATGCCTTTCTGTGCTAAGAATGACACACTACATTGACACAAAAAGAAAAGGAGTACTTGTGGCACCTTAGAGACTAACCAATTTATTTGAGCATGAGCTTTCGTGAGCTACAGCTCACTTCATTGGATGCATACCGTGGAAACCGCAGCAGACATTATAGACACACAGAGATCATGAAACAATACCTCCTCCCACCGCACTGTCCTGCTGGTAATAGCTTATCTAAAGTGATCATCAAGTTGGGCCATTTCCAGCACAAATCCAGGTTTTCTCACCCTCCACCCCCTTCCCCCCCACACACACACAAACTCACTCTCCTGCTGGTAATAGCCCATCCAAAGTGACAACTCTCTCACTTTGGATGGGACTCTCACTGCCCTAGACGTTAGACGAGCATTAGCGTTCTCATTAGCGTTCTATTTGGAGAGAACGAAACCATTTAGAGCTTCACCAAAACAACTCTCTCACTTTGGATGGGCTATTACCAGCAGGAGAGTGAGTTTGTGTGTGTGTGGGGGGGGGTGGTGGTGGTGAGAAAACCTGGATTTGTGCTGGAAATGGCCCAACTTGATGATCACTTTAGATGAGCTATTACCAGCAGGACAGTGGGGTGGGAGGAGGTATTGTTTCATGATCTCTGTGTGTCTGTCTGCTGCGGTTTCCACGGTATGCATCCGATGAAGTGAGCTGTAGCTCACGAAAGCTCATGCTCAAATAAATTGGTTAGTCTCTAAGGTGCCACAAGTACTCCTTTTCTTTTTGTGAATACAGACTAACACGGCTGTTACTCTGAAACCTGTCATTATACATTGACACACACCCTTCTACCAAAAAAAAAACAACCCCAACCAACCTCTACCCCAAAAAATTAATGAAGAAAACTTAAACAATCAAAACCAAAAATGCTACCCCAACTGGACTTTTTACCCCAAAAAGAAAAGCCAGAGGTTCCATGAAATCTAGGGACTGTTGATTTTTATGTGGAATGTACTCAAATTATGCTGATGGCTGGTGGCAGACAGATAATGCAACTGAGGAACAAGGAGATACTGCCTGTCTAATATTTATAGCAGGATACTTGAACTTTTGCAGTTAGGGAAGATGGGGTCTTGACAACTTAAGTTGTTTGCCTTTGGTGGAGAGAAGAATGGAATGTGTTAAAAGGGAGAGGCGTTCATTGTCACAGAAAACCAAGGCCAATAGTTGTGAATAGATTTTTAAAAGGCTCTGAAAATATTATGACACTAAGAATATATGTAGTTCTGCCGACTAAGACGATGCAGGTGATCATCACATGCGTCAAAGCAAAGGGATTGCTTCAAGGGTCAGGAAGGAATGTCCTATATTCACCCCGTTTTCCTTAACCACATACTGTCCCTAACAACACTGTGACGAGGTGCATTATGGTTTCTTCATATTCCTCAGAGAATTGGCAGTTTTCACTGCTGTTCTTCAAATGCACACATAGGGTACAGTTAAGGTTGTTTAAGTGCCTGGTGGTGATGCCATGCAGTATCCATATGATTAAGACAGTGGTTCTCAACCTTTTCCATACAGGTATTGAGCCAAGCCCCACTGACACTTAGCAATAAGGGGCACAAAATTCTGCTCCTGAAGAGAAGCATTCAGAGCAAGCCAGTGCTGGTCAGTGAAATATTCACAAGAGCAGAGCTAAATGCATCAAGAAAAATCTATTGTTGCTTCTCTGAGCTCAAACACTCAATTAAAAACTTTGAGATGAAAGCCAATGAAGTTCAGCATGGAGTAGGAATGGCCAATGTCAAGTAATCATTTCTTTATGTAAGATATCAAAGAGGCCTGTACTAGGCTTTCCTTTATTAAAATTCACAACTTTTACAGTTTCACTTGCCATCTGCCTTGCCTCAAAAACTTCCCAGTGAATTCAACAGCGAGTCCAAATGGCTTGGAGTGCAGTCAGCAAGATTCTAGTAACAAGGTTACAGGTTTTTGTTGTAGTTTGAGCACCATTAATCCAAATACACACATCCTTGCCAGTCCAACCCTTCTGGAAGGACTGATTGTTGCAAAGCTTCAAAGACCTTTTTTCTCCCAAAGCATGTGCTCTCAGTCCACTGTAAAGCAGGCAGTTCTCATCTATGGCTTGTTCCTGCTAAGACTGTATATATGATAACTAGGGGAAAACACTCATGTAGTTTCATACAGTTGTATTGAGAAATATTGGCCCTGAAAAGTATAAACAGCTGTTCCTGAACATCTGCAGCCATGCCATGATTTTGCCAATTGACTGCATAATTGGAGGGGGAAATACCTTTGGATTGACTGGCAATAGCAGATCCCAATATAATTCTGATATTCAAGACATAGGGTGTAATCATTGTTTTCCCAGTTATGGGGGTTGGCTGCTTTCAGTACTCACTGTGACACAACGTATAATGTTTGAAGGGCTTCCTGTCCTGCAACGTGCTTGCATCTCTCCCAGCTTGATGTAATCTGCAGATTTTATAAGCATACTCTCCATTAATGAAAATACTGAATGCTACTAGACCCAGGACTGACCCCAATATGGGACTCCACATGATGTGCCCTCCCAATTTGACAATGAACAATTGATAAATCCTCTTTGAGTGACAGGTTTCAGAGTGCTGTCTTTCAACCAGTTGTGCACCCACCTTGTAGTAATTTAATCTAGACCACACACATCCCTAGTTTGCTCACAAGAATGTCATGATGGAGTATGTCAGAAGCAATACTAAAATCAAGACTTATCACATCTACCCCTCCCCCCGCTCCCATCCACTAGGCCAGTAACCCTGTCAAAGAAGACAGTTATGTCAAACATGGTTTTCGGGGGGGGGTTCCTCTTGACAAATTCATGCTGGCTATTGCTTACTACCATATCTTCTAGGTGTTTAAGAAGTGTTTAATTTATTCCAGTTTCTTTCCAGGTATAGAAATTGAGCTGACTGGCCTAGAATTCCCTGGGTTTTCTTTGTTCCCCTTTTCAAAGATACATACTCTGTTTGCCCTTCTCCAGTCCTCTGGGGCCATACCAATCCTCCATGAGTTTTCAAAGATAATTGCTAGTGGTTCTGAGATTCTTTCAGCTAGTTCCTTAAGTACCCTAGATGAAATTTATCACGCCCTGCTGATTTTTATTTATCTAAATATTCTTTAACTATCTAACTTATCTAAATAGTCTTTAACCCATTCTTTCCCTATTTTGGCTTATCTTCCTTCTTGTTAATATTGTGTTGAGTATCTGTTCGCAATTAACTGTTTTAGTGAGGACTGAAGCAAACCAGCTTTAAACACTTCTTGAAGTCATCAACTATTAGCTCGCCGCCTTCATCTTTCTCTTGTTCCTAACGTATTTACAGAACCTCTTTTTGTTGTTTTCTGTCCCTGGCTAGGTGTAACTCATTTTGTGTCTTAGCCTCTCTGATTTTGTGGCTACATGCTTCTGCAATGGGAAGTTTTTTAAAAGCTATTTTGGGAGTAATGGTCTTTCTTTTATTTTAATAATTGAAATTTTCAGTTACTCCTGTTCAAAATGTCTGCCCCCTCTCACTGTTGTCAATGGGACTGAAGCCAGTGGGTACCATCAGGGAAGATGATCAGCCCCCTATGCTGTGAAAAGCTGGAGACACTCCATCCCATTGAGAACAATGAGAGAGACAAAATGTACCCTTCTCAAAATGGCCACCAACTGTGAGGACACTTGTGGCTTTAGTCCCATTAACAATAGGAGATGTTCACCATTTTGAAAGAAGGGAGGAGTTCTTGGAATTCTCTGAAGTAGAACATTGCATTCTTCTGCTTCTGCTTAAGGAGAAAGTTTCCATTATGAAGAACAACAGAGAGAATCACCATTAATTCTGTGGGGGGGAAAAAATGAACTCAGGCTGCACTATAGTGAAATGAGTAACTTTTTGAGAAGTTTGAAGAGTTTGTGGTGATCTTATTGAGATTAGGAGCTGAAAAATCTGTCACTATGCAAAATTTATTAAAAGGCCTACTTTTAATTTTAATTCCTAATCTAATTAACAAATTTACTTATACAGTCTCAGAAAATTCATTGTTACTCAAGGTAATTTTGGGGACTCTATGCTATATTTCTCATACATAAGATTAGATCATAGTCATAGAAATGTAGGACTGAAAGGGACCTCGATAAGTCATCTAGTCCAGCCTCCTGAATTGAGGCAGAACTAAGTATTATCTATTCTTAAAAACTCCAGTGACAGAGACTCCATGACCTCCTTAGGTAATTTGTTCCAGTGCTTAACTACCCTTACAGTTTGGAAGTGTTTCCTAATGTCTAAACTAAATCTCCCTTGCTGCAATTTAAACCCATTACTACTTGTCCAGTTCTCAGTGGATAAGGAGAACAGTTTACCACCCTTCTCTTTCTAACAACCTTTTACATACTTGAAGATTGTTATAATGTCTCCCCTTAGTCTTTGCTTCCCCAGACTAAACAAACCCAATTTTTTCAGTCTTTCCTCATAAGTCATGTTTTCTAGACCTTTGATCATTTTTGTTGCTCTCCTCTGAACTTTCTCCAGTTTGTCCACATCTTCCTGAAGTGTGGTCGC